TGTTCACCTTCCTAACCTTGTCTGGGAAGATGCAATCCTTGCCATGCGGTCGTGACATAATTAGTGAAGCGGTTGCCTGTCTGCTCTTGGGACTTGACTAAATAGCAATATCATAGGATTTTAGCATATTTCAGTTACTTCTTCAGTCCTTATGGTACAAGATGAGAGAGACAGGCTCCAGTCCAAGACAACTGTCCTAAAGACTGATAGAGAATAGTGTAGGAAGTACGTGATTCTGTGAAAAAATGCTCAATGTCACTAATTATCAGAGAGATGCAAATCAAAACTACAGTGAGGTACCACTTCACACCAGTCAGAATGGTCATCATTCTAAAGTCTACAAATGACAAATGCTGGAGAGGCTGTGGAGAAAAGGGAACCCTCCTACATTGTTGGGGGAATGTAGTTTGGTGCAGACATTATGGAAAATAGTATGGAGGTTCCTTTAAAAAATAACAATAGACTTACCCTATGATCCAGGAATCTCACTCCTGGGCATATATTCAGAGGAAACTCTAACTTGAAAAGATACATGTACCCCAATGTTCACAGCAGCACTATTTACAATGGCCAAGACATGGAAGCAACCCAAATGTCCATGAACAGATGACTGGATAAAGAAGATGTGATATACATACACAATGGAATATTATTCAGTCATAAAAAAGAATGAAATAATGCCATTTGCAGCAACATCGGTGGACTTAGAGATCTTCATACTAGGTGAAGTCAGGAAGAGAAAGACAAATACAATATGATATCTCTTATATGTTGAACCTAAAAAAAATGAACTTATTTACAAACCAGAAATAGACACACAGACATAGAAAACAAGCTATGGTTACCAAAGGGGAAAAGGATGAGGGAGACTGATAAATTAGGAATTTGGAATTAACATATACCCACTACTATATATAAAATAGGTAAACAACAAGGACCTACTGTATAGCACAGGGAACTAAATTCAATGTCTTGCAATAACCTACAATGGAAAAGAACCTGAAGAAGAGTAGGTATGTATATGCATAATAGAATCACTTTGCTGTACACCTGAAACCAACACAACATTGTAAATCAACTATACTTCAATTTAAAAAAAGAGTGTATTCAGAAGGTCAGGAAAAATGGAAGGCACTAATAAAGTTTTCATATTGTTAGCATAAAAAATAAAACAAAGAAAGCTGGACTGCAGTGCAAGAAAAGTATCAAAATGTGTGCTGAGCAGAATACGTAAGAAAGAGCTGCCTGAGTCTTTAATGCTGCCCCAGTCTGTATGTGAAGGCTGACTACATCTTTGCCTGGGATTTAGGATTTTCTCAATTTGTATGATTCCCCTAAATTCTTAGTTTAACACCTTAGTAGTCACCCTTTGGCTTAAGCTGGCTAACAGTTTCTATTTCTAGTAACCAAAAGAATCCTAATATCCATTATTATCTGTAGAATTTACATTTTAAAACTTCATCTTATGTATCTATCACCCCTTTCTCAAGTTTCCTCTACAACTTTAACAAACTTTCATCCCAGCACTTTTTACAGTGAACAGGAATTATTTTGCACATATGCCACCCTCTATATTATGAATTCATTCAGAGTCAAGATGGTGTCATTCATCTCTTGATGCCCAGACTTATCAAGGGCTAAGCTGTCTCACTGCATGTGGAAAATCAGACGTGGGTGGCAGGGTCTGCAGCAGGAACAGCAGTTCCTGCCTTGGCAGCTGTTTCGGAGAGAAGCTCTGGACTCGCCAGCTCCATTCACACCCGAGAGTCACAGGGTGTCCTAGTCACCCCAGCACAAGAAGGTCAGAGAGCGAGATGATGGTGAGACGGGGTGTGTCAATGCTGTTTAGCTGATGGGAATCATTAAATAACCAACTGACCTGCCCAATCCTCTCAAACAGGGATACAAGGGGCCTCCCCTCTAGAAGCCCAAACTAAGTTTGGAACCTGAGCAGAAGCCAAGCAGCAGAGTGATGGGTAAGCACCGTCTCTAATGTCCAGCTGGGAAGGCCAAGCACAGTCACGGGGCACAGTGGCCCAGGCCAGTGACAGCAGGGATGACACTAGCTTTCCATCGGATGGAGGTGTGTGTCTTAGTCCGTTCAGGTTGCTGAAACAAAACTATGGACTAGGTGGCTTATAAAGAACAGAAATTTTTATATTTTTTAACCTTAAAAAATTTATGTATATATGTGCATTTATTCCAGGTGAATTTAGTCTCCAGATTTGATTTTAAAACTTTTCCAATATATTCTCTTTTTTTTTCAGTTGAAGTATAGTCAGTTTACACCTAGAACTATGCTGTCCCAGTATCCCAGACACTAGCCCCATGTGCCTAATTAAACACTTAATTTATAGTGTGGCCAGTCTGAAGGGAACTCTCCTACACTGCTGGTGGGAATGCAGTTTGGTGCAGCCACTGTGGAAAACAGTATGGAGATTCCTCAAAAGACTAGGAATAGGCTTACCATATGACCCAATAATCCCACTCCTGGGCATATATCCAGAAGGAACTCTGCACCCCAGTGTTCATAGTAGCACTATTTACAATAGCCAAGACATGGAAACAGCCTAAATGTCCATCAACAGATGACTGGATAAAGAAGATGTAGTATATTTACACAATGGAATACTATTCAGCCATAAAAATGACAACATAACGCCATTTGAAGCAAGCCAGAAAGAGAAAGAAAAATACCATATGAGATCACTCATATGTGAAATCTAAAAAAAAAAAAAGAAGAAGAAGAAGAACATAAATACAAAACAGAAACAGTCTCATAGACATAGAATACAAACTTGCGGTTGCCAAGGGAGCGGAGGGTGGGAAGGGACAGACTGGGATTTCAAAATTTGTAGATACTGACAGGCATATGGAGAACAGATAAACAAGATTATACTGTATAGCACGGGAAATATATACAAGATCTTGTGGTAGCTCACAGTAAAAAAAAAATGTGACAATGAATATAAGTATGTTCATGTATAACTGAAAAATTGTGCTCTACACTGGAGTTTGACACAACATTGTAAAATGACTATAACTCAATA